GAAACTCTTCAGACATGAAACTCTTCAGACATGAAAAAACTGCAGGTACGTGAAGAAGGCGTCCCTTCTTGATATCACAGCAAATCTGGACGGTCTTTGTTAGGCAGCGCAATCCAGAAATGTTCGCTGCCCCCCTGCAAAGTTGAAATCGTCATGTCCTCTTAGCAACAGAGGTCCACACACACACACACACATAGAGAGACACAGCAGTAGCAGCACATCGATGGAAAAGGCAACCTGGCAAATACGGACAAGTTTCAGGATGATGCTGCGCCCACAGCTCGAATCTTCCCATTCTATTAGTGGAGAGCTTTACGGAGGAGTGCTCATGTTGGATCTGAAGGATAAGCTGTCCAGCGGAATCTGCGGGGTCGAAGCTGCAGCTGGGCAGGGTCTGGATTCTGTGAATCTCGTCATGCTTCCAGGTCTCAGGCCATAGGTTCCTGCATGTCCCGCTTGTCAAAACTACTAGTACCAACATGCTCCGAGCCATAGCGTTGCCAGGGGATCAGGAAAAAGACTGAAACGAGGCTATGCAGACATTTAGCAGCTGCTGGGTTTTCACATGAAAGCCTGTTTCACCGAATGAGATGTTGTAACTGTCAATGTTGCGCTTCCCCTTCCGACCTCATCCTGCGGCGCTGCTCATCAACACCAGTACATCAGTACAAAACTGCCGACCACAGCTCCGTGGCCGATTCCAAGCCTGTCGATTTTGTAAAGATTTAAAGGTATGAAGACCCACCGGCCCACCAAACCCAGGCGGCCTACAAGACTCCTGCCGGGACTGTAGCCTTGTCCGATGTCAATGGGCTTTGCCACAACGTGGCAGATTCGCGTCTGCATGGCTCTGCATCATCGCTCGCAGTGGATCCCGGGCAAAGCACGAAACTTCTGGCTTTCGGGCACCGTAAAGCAAGCCAATCACAATTTAAATGCTGCATATGTAGCACATAAAGTCACAAGCTGTGAGGACGAGAGCGCCGAGCTATGCACATGCCGCAACCGCTCGCGACGTTGCTGATCTGAAGCTGGCTCACACACCTGCAACAGCCAGCACGCGGGACGACAGGCGCAGAAAATGATGCCGTCTAAGAAGAAAAGCAAGAACAAGCCAAGAGTCCTCAATCAGTTCTGCGTCCCCGAGCATGCGCGAGTCTTCCTCCTCGCATTGAACTATCGTGCTTGATGGGCTTGATTTCAGCGCCCTGCACTGCAACTGACGAAAAGGATGTCTCCACCTCCTTGGCAGCGACCGCGGGGGTCTGAGACTGCACCTGCCGCGGGGAAGCCTGCGAAGCTGGGCCCTCGTCGAAGAAAGTAAACTGTTCAGGACATGCACATAGGCTTGCCGAGTTGCCGCCTTTCCTTGCCCCGCATGCGTGGCGGTTGCAAGCTCTTCAGCAAAGGCCTTCAGTTTTGCGGTGCTTCTCGGAGGCTCGAAGCGAAGGGACACGAGTACTGTGTGCACGGCTTCTCTCGGGTCTGGCATAGCCGCGGTCAACGGGCCACCTGGAAGATCCCGTTGCTTGACGGAGCTCCAAGATGCTCCGACATTGCTACGAGTATGATCAGCTCACTCGCATAGATGCCGGTGATGGCCAGCGGATGGGAGACGAGGAACAAGTAGCTGTCGGTCTGCATTCAATGCAGGAGGCTTTTTTGCCAGCATCTGCTTAGGACAGCATGCCGCCTCGATCATCGAGAAGTTGAAATTTGGGAACCTGCGTAAGAGCGCACAGGCAGAAATCTGCCAAAAATGGGTGCAAGCCAAAGCCGAGCTTCTGTGATAAGCCAGCCCCCTTTGCCGCTTGCTGAACAGTGCCTCCGGTTGGAGTTTTGGTACTTCTGCCCGGTCCAAACCTCGATGTACTGAGATACCACCGCCCGATATTTCTATGCTTTGCCGTTGCTTTCGAGGTCTCGGCATACTCCTCTTTCTGCAAGAGGAAGTCCCTGTCCTCGAATCCGAGTGGGCTGGCATCACTTACAAAGAAGGCTGCGCCTTGAGCTCTCAAATCTGACATCTGGGTATAGCACGGCAGTCGAGTCATGCCGCCACTGCACCTGCGCCAACGAAACGTCTCGCCGAGCTCTGCCCCTGAACTAAGATTCGTCTGCTTGGTCCGTGTCTGAAGCTCTTTTCGTATCTTGGCAGGAACTGACGGAGGTCATGGTCTCGGGCCCTGCCTCTTTCTTAGATGCACAAGTGTAAGTGTAAGGACAATGATATGTAGTGATTTTTGGCTGTTCGTGTGTGGTCCCTGGCGCAGGCCTGACCAAGGCAACTACACGGGCTTCCTGCACAGGTTCTGAGCTTCTTCGTGTCGGAGTGTCCAGTCATATCCAGCTTGGATGTCTCGGTGACTTGAATGCAAGACTCCTGTTCTGCTCCGGTATCTGTATTCCTCTGGCTACCTCCCGTTCCTTGTGGGGAAAGACCACTTGGGGAACTAGAGGCTTCCCCAAACTTCCCTGTGGAACTACTGCACGAGGGGCCTAGTTAGCTCTGAGATTTGGGCGCTGCAAGGCGTTGCAACGACTCCCGTCCAATTTTTCACCAATACCCGCACTTTACCGGCGATGCAAATTACCGCTCTGGACCCATTCACATACGAGTATCTTCATGCTGAGATGCCTTCGTCCAGATGGCCTGCGTGAGGACCTCGGCCATCCGACGCCTCAAGGAAAGCGAAATCAAGGGAAAAGCAGGAAGTTCCAGCTTGAGACCTTTGGGCTTGTCTTGCGCAGCAGGTGCGCTTGCTTGCTGCAAAGCCTGAGCCGCACGCACTGCGAGCTCCTTGGCCAGCGAAAGCTTCGCCGCGCTCCTCCAGCTAGTGAGGCGGTTGCATCGATCGGATACTGCCGTCAGCATAGAGCAAGGCTCCATGACTTCGATGAGGCAATCCGCTTTCTTGCATCGTTGTCGGGAATGCGGCTGAGCAAGAACCTTGATGGAGGGCTTGCTAACACAACCAAAATGCCAGCACAAGCGCTGACTATCCTGGCCATACTGCTGGCACCCAATTCATCCCAATTCCATGTCCGTTTGCGGCAATCCAAATCTGGGTCTGTGAGATGGCTGTTGTTGCCTGTTGTTGCCTCAGACCGATGAGTCAGGGCTTTGGGAAAGTATCGTCTGGATCGTCCGGAATATGCTCTTTCTGGCTCCGAATTCGTTGCTCTCGTAACCTGACATCGAAGGAAGGCAAGTGATAGCACTTGCACCTTCCAGACATTGCCGGAGCAGTCTCCGAATGTCCGGCTGGCTACAGGAGCCAACCGGTGCAGTCTCAGTTTTGTCTTCGTTATCTTCTATGGCTGGCGGTTTATCTTGCACCTCAGCCTGGAGACGGAATGCAAACCAGGTGGCGCGTACTCCTTGCTGTCTGCTGCCATCCTCCACTGCTCCAGGTTGATGGCCCAGCGCCTAGAGCGTAGATATCCCAAACCCTGTGCTCCGCATGAAGGCGGTTGCACTGCTGGCTGAGGCATCGACACGACATAGGGCACCTGCAAGGTGGGCTCTCACGAACAAGATGAGGTGCGAGCTTTTCAGAAATTCGATCTGGCCTCGTAAAGCTGGAAGTCTTTGTCCTAGCACGTCCAAAAGATCCAGTTTGTCCCAAAGACATGGAAGACTTCTCAGAAACCCAGTCCTCTGCTTGCAAAGCAGGTGGCGCTGCTCGAACACATGCCGTTTGGTGCCTCTGCACTGCCCATCAGTGGTGCAGCAAAAAACATCAGACGTGGGCTGCAAGCTCCCGGCCCAGACTTCCAGTCATTCTGTTGGCACTCCAAGCTGCAGTACGGCCTGACCTGCACTGCCATTAAGCAGCGATTCGCCTACGAGTCCAAGCGATCTTGCCCGCCTTGCAGTAGCCACACACACTCCTGCCAGGCGGGTTTAGGGCTCTCGCGACCTCTCTTCTTTCTCTAAACAACTCGTTCACTTCTCTCGGGCCTGCTGGGTCTGGGCTCAGGCTAAACCCCCGAAGCCCATCATGCATCAGGGTCTGGTGCGCTTCACAGACTCGTCTGGCTGGTCTGGCAACGTGGACTGATGGGGGCTGAAGAGCTTGGAGACTCGAAATCACATGATGTGCCGATGTGTTGCTGGTGAGGCTTGGGGAAGCCTTCTCGGCCGTAGCGCTGGCCTTAGCAGACATTCTTCGACGTGCACCACTGTGCCTTCAGTCAAAACAGCACATCCGCCCCGATTCGATGAAGCATTGGGTGATAGGTTGCCATGACTATTCTTTCGAAGGGTTGACCGGCGGTTTCTCGCATCATGCTCTGTAGCCAACATTGTCGAAGTGAGACGCGTTGGCCTTTCTGCAAGGCGCTGTCCTGGAGACGCTGCCGCACCACGAACATCGGGGCAGCTCCTCGCAGGCTGCAGACGAAAAAATTGGTCCGACCCAGGGTGTCAAGGCCGCTGCCAGTCCTCCTCCGCAGAGACACCGTCACCCAGCAGGGGAAGCTCCACGCGCCCCATTGCAGGAATTGGAGCGCACTTGGGAAGAAAAAGTCTTGGTGAACCCACCCACCACAAAGTTTGACACTCGTTACTTCTTTGCCATCAAGCACATCAGCGTCTCTGGGGCATCTTTCTCGATTTGAGCATCAACAGCCTATCGCCCGAGCTACGGCTGATGGCACACCTAACCAAAGCAACGAGCCAACCGGCTCCCCGTGGCATTGAAGCAAGGCACTCATTTGCAAGGAGGGAAAAGCCCCTGAAGATTTGTGGAGGACATCTGATGCTTGGCGAGCTTTGGTGCTTTGGGAGGCCATGGCACAATCTCTGTAGCAGAGACCATTGGTCATTTTATGAATTGGCAAACGACAGCTGGGTTTTCTGTCACTTTGTGGAAGGTTGTGGGTCTTGGCACAGCGGCACCGGACTGGAGCAACCGAACTGTGCATTGAGAGATCGAGGTCTGGCGAGTGACAATTGAAGCGGTGAGAATACTTTCGTAAGGCACCATAATGGTCGACTCAGCATGAACTCCCCTAGCCTGCATTTTGGTATGTTTGATTTCAGTACACATGTGATGTATTTAGCAAGACGTGTAACCTGCCAGCATTTCCACAAACCAACTCATCATCTATGGATAGAATCACATGCAGGTATATATGAATGTAGCAATGAGTATACCATAGACCCCCATGCTGGCATGAATAAACAATGTTATAAACAGGTGCTTTGATACATTCGGGGCCATTGGCGGCCTCCGTGAGTTTTCGGCATTTAGGGCTCACACACACACATGCCTTAATACTCGGATCGGGTAAAACTCGATTTCGGCTGCGACTGAACTCGGATGCGATTGCATGGTATTAGAGAGCCACTCCTTTCACCGCCTCGCAGTACTACGCAAAGAAAAGGGTTGAGGCACTAGTGTTGACTCGCCTGAACTGAGCCCAACGACGGGAGACTGAAAGCCGAAAGTTGCCAGGTACTTGGACAAAGCTAGACGCGGATGCTAGTGCCTCAAGCGATCAACAGGGCAGTCTGGCAAACAACGCCTTCACTGGAATCGAGTGTGCTGTACGTTTCCCAGGTTGAGGTCGGTCGTGCAACAAGGGAACCACCACCACCGATGGGCTTCGTCATTTCAACTGCTGACCAATACACAGAAAAAGCATTAAAAAGCCAGAAGCACTTTTCCCGAGCTGGAACCACGCGATAGTTTCTAGACAACAAGTGTTGTCAAAGGTGACCTACTGAAACTAATGGTCCGCGACAATCGAATTCGAGAAAGTAGCGCCTGTTCTGCTTTGCATCCTCACCAGCCCGATGCTGTATGACTACCGCGATGAGATCGAGAAAATGCACTTAACTCCGCAACTCTGCCAGTGCCAAGATCTAGTCACTAATTAGTCATGCCACTACTAGCACGATACTTCTGGATCTCCCAGAATATGCAATCTATCTAATCGCACCACTCGCACACTTCGTTGAGAGAGAGCTCTCTCTCTCTCTCTCTCTACGCAGCCCCGTCGCTGCGATTCGCTGCCTGCCAGGAACACAACGTCTGCGATTGGCTTCACGACACTGGTGACAGAGGGCAGCATGTGTCCACAGCCACACACTGAGGCTTGTTTCTTGCGTTTGTGGCACACACGGGCAGCAGGCCTCACGAAGCAAAGTCTCCGCAGATATCATGGCATCTCTGAGCTGGAGATGAGCAGCGAGCAGTGCTGTGGGTGCCTTCAACGTGACGGATAATCGTGATAAGGATGTCTTGAAGCAGTAAGCCCGGGTTTCATGCACAGCTGGTAGATGCTGAGGCACCTTTAGCAAGCCAGCACCAACATCTGCCTGATCGTGGGTCACACGGAGACGAGCTGTGTCCCAAGGCCGATTGTTAGGGACACGGCTTTGCTGAGCTGCAAAGCTTCCACCGCCCGTGCCGGCGCAGGCAGCGCGGGCGGCGCTGCCTCCGGCGCTGCCTCGAGACACGGCGTTGCTTGCACGATGTCGCCTGCTTCTCCGTGCGTTTTGTGCTTGCGAGCTTGCGAGCACTGAGCGTCTTTTGTCATTCGCTGCTCGCGTATGGCCGGGGCGGGCTGCAAAGGCCTGCCTGGAACTGAAGTCGGCTTCTCGGGTGAGTAAGTCTGCAGGCCCTGCCGCCCCACGCAATCGCCAGCCGGTGACATCTCCGGCAGTCTCGTGCTGTCCAAGTCCTTCTCTCATCCCTCGGCGCGAACGAAGCCCAGCACGATGAACATCCGCATGAGTTCGGAGAACTTCCTCAGGCAACTGACAGGAGTCTTAGGCACAAACTATGGGGCATCCGAACATGGAATTGCTACATTTTGGGAACCGCGCTGCCACGGCCCTCACGTATGTCACTTCACGATCGCAACCGTCATGCCTGCCAAAATTGTGAACTACTACACATAACGCGTTTTCCCTGTGATTCGCTGTGGTGCCTCCGGTACGTAGCTCTTGGTGCTTACGTAGGCCAGCTCTTTCTCGAAGAGTTTGCCTGAGTTTCGCATGCTGTCAAAGGCCGAGCTTCTGATCTCTCCATTCCAAGTATCTGTTTCTGTCCAGAAAGGCACCAGATCTGGCAATGAAGCGCTGTTTCCTTTGCTGACTGGAAATGGCTGCTTTAGGCATGGTAGCACACGGCTGCTTCCGTTCGTTGATTTGAGAACCCCAAGTGCTTTTTCAAGCACCCACTTTCAGCAGCTCGGCTGCAACACCTTTACCGTGCCCGACCACTCGCAAGTTGGTAGCTTCACGCATGGCATCTCATCTAATCGCCTCAAAAAGCAAATACCCTGATAAGCCAAAGAATGCGAATTCCAGAGCTGCTCACCGTCATGAGGTTCTTGGCTACATCTAGTGACGCTTTGGTGCCGTGTGCACCGTGAGCCAAGCCTGAGGACGGGTCAGCGCTTCCGAGGAGACCGCAAAGGAACTCGAGAGCTCCGTCAGAAGGCCCTCTGCCCGGGCTACAGACATCTGCTCCTGGCGCAAAGCAACTCACAACAGCACGGAAAGATTCCTTGATCCCACAGGCGACTGTCCTTCTCGGCCAGACATTGCTCCGACTCTAACCCGTCCGGCGGCCTCCCCACTACCACGGTCTTGATGTTCCTTGCCCAACTCACCAGTCCAAATGCTCCAGCTAGCTGCATGAATGACGCACGAAAGGCTTGTTGCAGCTTGATAGCATCGTTGCCAGCAGATCCTCCGTAATCTTCCATGGCACGCCAAGGACAACGTCATCTACCCAGCGAGTAGACAGCACCTGAAGGGTCAAAGCACTGTGGAACCTGTCACGGTAAAATAACAACCTGAGATTTCCCTCTTCGGTTTTATAACTGGGGCAGCTTCAATTTCAATTCGACTTCGAGTTTGGGACTACTGGGCTTCAGTTTTCGAAATTGCCACCTAACGAGGTCCTGTTGCCATATTATGCTATATTTTTCGTATCAATTTCTGTGCTGTTTTGTGGTCTTGTCTGGCTTTGTTTGCTTTTCTTGTGGTTTATGGCCCACTGGTCCTGCCTGTCCTCCTCGTCTGCTTGGAAATATTTTTTGTGTATTTGTTCGGGTTGTTTGTGATTTTTTCGGGCTTTAGGCTTCCACAGGCCTCTCAGCGGTACCTCGTCTCGGGAATCTGGCTTGCATTTTATTGTAAGCTCATGTGGCGATTCCGGATGATCAATCTTAAACACGCCCCCTCATTTCGCGATTCCGGGTCATCATATAGCGTGAAGCTGTTCTGGAAGTGCACTCCGCCAAGCTTCGTTGTGCGTCAAGCTATTAAAGAGTTCTGATTCGTAAGGTGTTGCTTAGCAAAAAGCTACTGGGGGCGTGCGATGCCGATTCTCGATCATCATGTGTATACATATATATATATATACATACATACATACATACATACATACATACATATATACATATATACATATATACATGTATATGTATATGTATGTGTATATGTATATGTATCTGTATATGTGCATGTTTGCATGTTTGTATACATACATACCTACATATATCCGTTTTTGCTACGTATATTTATCAGTGTTCTGTTTA